TTACGAGCACCTCATGCCATCATTTCAATGGCCACAGAAATGGCCCCTCGTCTCAGGAACCATTGTGTTGTTTCACCACACAGAAAGGAGAAAAAAATACACGTATTTGAAAAATAGTTATACATATTAAGAATGTCAAATATTTGTACTGTGGATTAACAAAACATTCTTAATGTTTTGTACTGATACAGTTCCCCAGAGACACGACAATTAAACAAGTAATGGAAAGAAAATGCACTTCCTGTGGAATTATGGACGTCTCCTCAGTTATTTTATAAATATTCAAAACCTGCTGAGGTGCTGAAATTGTTACAGATTGTGTGCATTGATTGTGGCCCTGCAGCTGCTGCTCCACATAAAAGCTGCAAATTAATGGAGGAAACACTGCTGCTAATTCTTGGCAAAATTAGGGCGCTACTGCAAAAAATTTAGTTTAAATAAAATGGCAAAAACATTGCTAACACAGCTCATCCACTGTAATCCAAATTGGCATGAAAGGCCTTTGGATTATAAACCATATTTAAAAGACAATATTTGTGTAATATTGTTCATTTATTCTCTGCAGGCTCATTGGTGGGCCATCCTACTGGCTATCCTGACATTGTGCGGAGTAATGGGCTGCACCATCTGCTTCTGCAGCCGCACCCTGGACACCAGAGACCTGGAGTGACCCCTGACTTTTGAGCGACTACCTTTACTTAGGTACATGACTTTGTAGGATTGCTGGACTTTTACTTATAATGGGAGTGTTTTTAGACTACTGTATTGATATGTTTGGTGATTAATCTAAAGCTGGCTTTGCATTTAACGCAAGTATCCCAATTCTATTTCTTGGCTCACCTTTACAGCCAAAGGCGATGGCATCAAAACGAACATGTAGAAATTGCAGAGCTTATTTTGGCTCATTTAACAATCCCTACCACTTTGATATCAAGAAGAGGTGCAAAAAAAGAGTATGAATTGTTAAAATGTTTGCATTAAACCAATATTTTGCTTTGATAAATAATATATATCTTCAACCTGGTAAATATGAATCATACCAAAGGACTGGTTAATGATTAAGCTGATAAATTGAAGTTTTAAAATTATTTTTGCTGTCACAACCATAGAATAAATGTCAGGCTCAGAATGACTTCTCAGATGGCAAGTTTGGTTTATTAATGCATGTATACATTACAGTGAATATTTACAATTATGTACAAAAGATAAGAGATATCCATGTTTTACACATTTAATTTATCCAAAGGTAAAAATATATGGCTAATTTTGTTCCATTCCACAGAAGCCACTATCTGTCTTGTGGTATTTGCATTATATTTAATGCGCAAGTAACGTGACATAGCAATCTCTTCCCGTTTTTAGTGCAAAAGAAAACATTTCCACCTGTGTAAAGCATGTGGAAATAACTTCACAACATTTACAATACCAATCTCTGAAGAGTGAGGGGTTTTGATATTGCTCATAGAACTGGAAATTGAAAAGTCTTGAGCACAGAATAACCTGCATTTACAAGGACAGCACAAGAAAGTAACAACACTGAGATTAACTGTGCCCTCTCCCTCTCAGTGAGCGCCATGTACTTCATAAAATTTAGACACAATAAGAGAAAAGTTGTGCGGCACTTCTTGGAAGTAACATTTTTAAAATAACATGACATCTTACAGAAGCAAAAGTCTGCACAATAATAAAAATAAAACCACAGGAAAACACTAAGACAAATTCAATTTCAGTAGCTTATTTCTAGCAATTGTTTGCAGTAAGGCACACTGCTACATGTCTCAGAGTCACATATAGTGCTGAGAGCCACAGTGGTGAATGCTCTGGTAGGTTATGCATTAGACAGATAACACATAAAGGTAAATAAATTGTACCCTATTGCTTAAAAGGATGTTGCATTAAAAGGAAGCACCATATTGCTGATGAAGGATTTGGCATTGTTAATTGCTCTCAGGCCTGATCAGGCCAGGATCAGACAGAAATTTAGAATCATGTTCAGGTCCAGGTTGGGTTTGGACACATAGGTCAAACTTTAGGCTAGATGACTGGAGAGCTCAAATGTCTGCTTCATTTAATGATAAGGGGAAAACACCATGCAAACTCACTTACTGGGTCCGGAAGCCACACTTTCAGGCACAGGTCAGATTCAGACATAAATATCCAGTCTAATCCATGCTCTGCAAGACAGCCAGTTTGGATCATTCTATAATAAATCAGGCTTCAGGAGTGGTCATGTCTCAGTAAAAGTCTTGAATGACCTCAGAGAAAGTGTTGATGTTGACAATATGTCTGTGCTGGTCCTCCTAGATTTAAGTGCCACTTTTGATACAACAGATCACACAACACTGATAAACTGGATCAACCAGTTAGTATTTATGGGAAGACACTGGAGTTGTGTCACAATTACTTAACACAGAGGCAAATATTTGTTCATATTGATGAGCATGTTTCAAATACTCATGATAAGTCATATGGTGTCCCACAGGGCTCCATACTTGGTCCAGTTCTTTTTTTGCTGTGCATGTTCCCACATGGCTAAATTACACAACATAGTGTGAAATTTCTTTGTTATGTGGATGATAAACAGTTATCCACACCTTGATGACCAAATCAGCATTAATAGATTAACATACAGCTTAAAAAGTATTTGAAATTAAATAAGGACAAAATAAATGTCATAGTAGTAAAAGTGCAGTAGTCACTGCAGAAAGGAGGAAGCAATTATATATGTTCTTAAAGACCTGGGAAAACTAGACCAATCATGAGCAAAAATAAAATAAAATAAAGTTTTATTGTTCATCTGCAAAGTGCTTAGATGTTTGTTTTCATGAAAACTATGTGAAGTTCCTTGAAAGGTATAAAGTTTATTATTATTTTTGCCTCTATTTAAGAGGTCTCTGCAGGACATTATTCTGCACAGTGTTTGCCATAAATTTTAATTGAGGTATTTTACACAATATGACACTTGCAGAACTATTATGGTTTTTCCAGTCATCAGTCTTCTCGGTATGTGAGACTCTGGTGTGACTCTGAATTGTACCTATCTCTACCAAAGATGACGGAGTTTACTTTTTGTACAACAGTGAAGTTACAGTTACATGTCATAAAATGTACGTTTTGCAAAATATTATACAGTGATTTACATAGATGTAGTTTTAAATAACAGACAGACTCATGTACTCAAGGTAGGGGTTTTGTATAATTTGAACATAAAAAAAGTTATAGGTGTGTAATTTATTTACTAAGTGCTGAAATGGACCAGAAGATTTTCAACAGCTGGATCTTTTAATCAATGGTTCTCCAGAGTTACTCTACAGACAAAAATGAATTCTATTGTTATTTATGAGCATGAACTCTGACATTAATGGTAATATGCTAGAGTAAACAAAGAGTCTAACTTACCTTTTCGAAGTTTGTTTTTAGTTTGTCCTCCATGCATCCTTACATTTAACAAATGTAACCTCCTGTGTTAAGCTCTGAGCTTCAGGGTCTTTTACACAGAACACCATCCTGAAAAGGAAATTCATAAAACATTGCTGATTTATATGAGCACTTGAAGTAGATTCATTTATGGCAGGTTGAGGATTACAATATTCATATATTATCTATACTGCTTATTTCTCAATAGGGTCGTGGGGGGTTTGGAGCCAAACCTAGCTGAGAGGCGGGGTACACCCCTGACAGGTCGCCAGTCTATCACAAGGCTGACATGTAGACAAACAACCACACACACTCACATTCACTCCTATAGGCAATTTAGAGTTGCCAATCAACCTTAAGGTGCATGTCTCTGGGAGGAAGCTGGAGTACCCACACAAGTACAGGGAGAACATACGAACTCGGCACAGAAAGGCACTGGGTTGGCCAGGGCTCAAACCTGGACCCTTCTGACTGTATGGTAACAATGCTAACCACCGCGCTGCCCATGATCACAACATGAAGCCTTAAATTTTGTTCTTTTATTACTATTTCTTCTAACAGGGACAATGCTAAAATACTGTATGTGTTTTTGTCACATTTCTATCATTTTTTGAGTTGTTAAAAAGCCATTTTTCCAACATAGCACATACTTACTTTTGCTGGGTCTCACCAGCTAGGATGCGGATTTTGTGAACCTTCACGTTAGCACTGTCTGAGTGACCAGTCCACCATGAGGAAATCATATTCAACATGCTGGACGTTGACCAACCATTAGCGTCTTCCCATTTAAA